CAGCGTTACGCCACCGCATGTGGCCATTCCATCAGAGTACCTACCAACACAATGATATACTAACTTAGATGGGGAAGAGTCTACACCTAGACTTGCCACAATTTTCCGAAGTGTTAGAAACTTTCGAAGAGCGCCACCAGCGTCTGGTTATATCAAGAAACTTTTTATGTTTGCAGCATGGTTTATCCATGGTTTACCGTTAATTTTGAAATCTAGAGGTAACGGATCTAGGGGGTGCTGTGTTATATAGAGAGTAATGTGTGACGGAAATGGTCTGCAGTCAGTTGGTTGTTACCATGCGCCAGTGATGTTGGAGTCACAGTACAGCAAGATGAAACTATTATTGTACATTTTAAGTGCTCCCTAAATGCATAAGTGTAAGCTAAATTACGGTGATTAATTTAATCAGCGAAGATATGGAGACAATTATTTCGAAGTTCCCTCTTTCCAAGAAGGGATGCAAATGCTTTGTGAAAATGAGTACGCCGCGGTACTCATTTTCACAAAGAAACACACACAACTGGTTAGCTAACAATATGCCAATGTAATTACGCCTGGGAAGGAAGGTGCAATCACGTTCTGTTGCCTTGCAAACGTCTGTACTGTATGAGAGGGGGGGGGGGGCTACTGACTGCGTAGGCGGACGATGAGACAAAACAATAGGACAAGGCCTAGGCCCAGGCCTAACTAGGCAGTGAAATTATATGTGATAGAAATTACACTTTCGAAAGAAATAAATTAAAATAAGAAAAAAAAAATTAATAAATAGGAATAATTCAGTTGCAGAGGTACCTTGTTTTTAAGTATTATAACAATGCTAACAATGCGGCTCTTGTAGACCTAGCTAGGCAAGGCATCCATGTGCAAAGCAGTGCTGTTTGTTTATCCATGAAAAAGCACGCCGGGAAAGTTTGCCTTACCAGGTGACGTAATCTAGTTTATGACGTATGCATGCTAACTATAGCGTGAGTGTGACGTCACCAAAAAATGAATATTTTTTATTATAACCAAAATATTAATATCTACAAGGTTTCTAAGCGTAAATTCCCTTAAAACGAATTAAGGGTTGCACAATCTCCTTTCCATAAAAATTACAGCGCCCACTGACGTCTCAGTCGAGAAATACGGGTAGCTGAAGTTTTTCTCGAAAATCTGACTACGAAACCATATCGGAAATTCACGTTCCACTTTTGACCCTGAGCTGCGGGCGGCGTTCCGGGAACCCTGCGTCAAGAAGAAATATAGTATGGAACGCAGTGCAAATAAGTAATATGGGACGCCATTGGTGCCAAAATCGATCGATTTAATTTTATTAGTTTTCACTGATTAAGACAAAATGTAGAGACTGGATGACAGTCTAAGTCCATGGCCGGCGGAATCGGAGGGGGGGGGGCCACTTTTTGGCGAAAAATATATAATGTCTGGAGATTTTTGTATGATCGGAAATGGAAAAAAAAGAAGGAGGGAAGAAGGAGGAGAAGGATGAGAAAGAGAATGTTTATCCAGTACCCGACCGAGTTACATTTTCTCGCAATTCACATTGGCGGATCTGGGGGAGGGGGTCATGGGTCCTGACCCCTCCCTTGGGCAACAAAAAAGGGGAAAAAGAAAATAATTCTAGACCTAACTTTTCAGGACCCATGAGCTGATTTTTTTTTTTTTTTTTTTTG